TGTTTTCACAAATATACACATAAAACATACTGTAAAAAAGGTACATATCTGAAATCTGTATATCTATGTATCTTATAAGTTATATCCTGTAAGTTATATCCTTTTAACACTTACAGTATGTTAATATATATATATATATATTAGACTTGTGCCGGTTTTCGGTAATGCGATATATCACGGTAATGAATATGCACGATATTGTTATCGTGGGCTCTTCTAAATACCGTGAATAATTATATATTGCAAGTTATTCAGATTTTTGAATGCATTTTAAGAATACTTTTCCCATCAACTGGTCAAAATGCACAACACCGCTGTATGCTGCGTGAAAGACGCGTGCGCACTCTGATGTAAACAAGCGCGGACGAGAAGCACATGGCGGAACATGTGAGAGACGCTATAAATTTTTCTGTATTGCTTTATTGCATTTAAATGTTCAGTTATTTTTGTTATAAGAAAAAAGTTATTAAACCTGTTATACTGTATTATGACAGCACTTTTTTTAAACTAAATTTCAGTACCGTGATAATACCGTATACCGTGATAAAAGCATTAGCAATTAATCGCAACATGAAAATTTGATACCGGCATATCCCTAATATATATATATACACACTGTATATAGACACATACATACACACACACACACACACAACATACAAGTCATAAATTTATGTATAAATGTATACACATATACACACAATCAATATATATATATATATGCACTTTTTGAAAACAGGTTAGTGAGTCTTGAATCAATCTACTCTGACCAGTTATTTACATAACAATGTGTAGTTATTAGGGCTGTCAGTCAATTAAAATTTGTATTCAAATTAATTACGTGTCGATTAATTAATCTAACTAATCGCAAATTAAATTTGCCTGTGAAATTACCCACAAAAGATTATTTAAAGCTATTTTTGTGTTACATGAGAAAGTATCAAGTAGACATTTCAAATAGTATCTTTAGAAAGAAATATTTTATTTGATTCAACATAAAATGTATTACACATAAACGTTTAGACTACAATGGCCTAACATAAACTATGGAACATAAAAGAAGATAATTTGAGAAACATCTCAGTATTTTTTGTTCATACAAAGTCCAAAACAGCTTAGTTTTTTTTTTATGAAATGATACTCTAAATAAGAAACTAAAACTGCCAGCAGGTGCTGGTAAATGTCTGTTTACATCATTCATTCATTCGTTCAAACTGCTGATTCATTCAGGAATGAAGTAAACGGTTCAGTTTGTGAATAGGCTATTGAATCATTGGAATCGTTCAAAACGATGATTCATTCAGAAACTAAACACTGCTGTGTTGCTCACAGACGCATAACAGTTTTGCGGTGGCTTTAAAGGTAATATTTTCTCTGCAAAATTGAGCAAAACAGACAGTATTGTGTTAACATATAATAAAATATTAACTACTTTTACTGAACTGTTGTATAAAATCACATTTGCACTCGTTATATTCGTGACAAAACAGCACTCGTGTGATACAGCTCTCGCTGCTCATTCGCTTATCATACGATATAAATATTAGGGATGTGCAGGTCTAGTTGACTAGTCGACTAAACGGTACAGCTCCTACTAGTCGACACTGAAAACAATAGTCGATTACACGATAGAAAAAAGAAAGAAAGAAAAAAACATGATTTTATCATTCAAATTATCATCATTTTAACATTGCATTTAAAACGTTTTAAATAACAAGTTAAAATAAAACGTTTGAAAAATAATACATTATTTTTAAAAGTTTATCTGGTCCATTCACTGATTTGTTCTCACACACTGATTATTAAACGATTTAGTCCAGCTGTTTGAGTGAATCGTAACGCTGCTCTGAATCCAAACCCTTAAGGCCCGTTCACACCAAGCACGATAACTATAAAGATAACGATAAAGATATAGTTTTAAAAATCGTTCTCAATATTAAAAAATAGCAGAGTCCACACCACAACTATAACGATAAAGGCACAGAGAAACTATATATATATGGAATCACTTTCAGAACGATTTTTTTCAGCTGATTACAGCCAATCAGAATCAATCCTGCTGTCACGAGCTCGAGAATTCTGTATCTTTCCGTGAGATATTAAGAGTTTGTTGTTTTCATTCTTTCATATGCATTTGGCTACCCACCAATAAGGAAACGGTCTGTAAAAAGCATTTGACATGTACAGGGTGAGATTTAAACATTTCCACACGCTAGCGGCTAGCATCAATTTTTTTTTTACAAAATTTCCTATTATTTCCTTGCCATATCATCACTACATAGAGAAAAAATGTACCAAAGTTCGCTGAACATTTATTTAACCATTGCAAAAGTAAATTTCTGGCTGAAGTAAATGTGTCATCTCGGTTTTAGTGTTCATTTAAAATGAGACACAGCTGTTTATTATTTTTACAATTATTTCACAATTATTTTAATCTCCAAACTGTTTTAGATAGTTCTGCTTTGCTTCTTATGCTTTGCATAAAAAAGTGTTGCTCCGCTCTCCCCTACACACACATTGCGCTGAACCCCGCGATGAGTTTAACAACACTCGCAGCACGGATTACCGTTCATATACGCACCGAAGTGAGCGCGTTTCGAGTTTTTATGGACATATTTCATAGACGTCTGTAACGTCATTAACGTCTGTAAATGAAGAAATTAAAACGTAAATATTAGTAGTGAAATTTTTCAGTTGTAATATAAATTAAAATGGTTATTTTTCTTAAATAGGCTACGTAATATGTTAAATTTTTTATTAAGATTAAGCTTACAGTAATGTCAATTGTTTTTTATCTCAAATATTTCGGTGGGTCTTGAAATAGATTATACTAGTCTAGGTGGGTCGTGGAATGGAAAAGTTTGGGAACCCCTGCTTTACACAACTTTCTCCAGCTCTGTCTCTCTGTGTGTGTGTGTCTCTCTCTGTGTGTGTGTGTGTGTGTGTGTGTGTGTATGTGTGTGTGTATGTGTGTGTCTGTCTCTCTCTCTCTCTCTGTTGTCATGGAAGTATCACCTAGGTGACTGTTGCTTAGAGATGAATCAGCGTTTTCAGATGCGTGTGAAATGATGGGATCGCTAGCATTTATTTAATCTACCGTCAGTAAAAACGACACGGCAGAGAAGCACGCTAATAAACCTTCCCTGTAAAAGACATCATACACTCCACAGCGATCAAAAACAGGTGTCTGACGACAGCAAACAGCCGCTAAAGCTGACTGATGCTAGTGACCGGCGTCTGCGGCTCTGTTCAGAAGTTCCTCTCAGAGCAGGAAGACGTTCAAAGACGAAAGAGGAAGACGCTCGTATTTACTGCTGACACCAGAAATCTTCTTTTAAAAAAGGAAGCAGTCTGATTATCAGTCCAGACAATCATGACACGATGTACTTCACACCACTCAAACAAAACAGCCTTTTCAATCAACACTTTTGGCTCCTATATGCAAAAAAAGACAAAATATTAATGTGGTGCCAATAGCCCATGTGACCACTGACATCACAGATGTACTACTTTAATTTTTGTTAAAGGGGTCATATGATGTGATTTCAAGTTTTCCTTTCCCTTTGGAGTGTTACAAGCTG